AACATGGTGGAATCGAAAATACTAGCAATGGTTTTGTTCGAATCCCCATTGAATTCTAATACGTTTTCTAGAAAAAGAAAGGTGAAGAGTATCTTTAAATTTCGTTGGGAGAAAATGACTTTTCGATTTTATTATGAGGAAAAGTCTACCATTGCTCTCATAGGCAGAAAACTTTGAAACATCAGATATAGTTCGTTGTAGATGTTTGACATTTGACTGAAAACGTAGTCCTCTTATCTTTGCATATACAATAGTATGAGAATATGTGGGTGACTGAAAACATTCCAAAGTACCGTTCCAATGTTGCAGCTACGAATTAGAGACGTAATAGCGTGCACTTCGCATTTGAAACATCATGTGTGTACTTACAAATGCAATAAGGCTCAAGTGTTCCTTTGATCGAAAGCTACTTAGTGAAAACTACGTCCGGCATGGTTGGCCTATCTTCAGACTTGTCCAGTTGTCCTGCACGCAAAGGAGTCCGATGTGTATGCATCTCATTGCTTCTGAGGACGAATATGAATCCAACAGTACTTCATCTAGCAAGTCCAGTCCCCTGCCTTCATTCCATAAGTGCCGAACCCGGCAAAAGTCATATCGTGAATGTTGCCTACAATTGTTAGAATCTGCTATATTTAGCATCTTAAAAACACAAATCCAAATGAAGATTTTGAGTGATTAGCTTACATGAGCTAAGAATCCATGCTGTTCCTCGTTGCAATAGAAGCTAGTATTCTTTTTGTTGGCGATAATCTCCAATAGCAAGACGTCAAAACTATAGACATCAGATTTTTCAGAAAATATCGCACCCATGGCATACTTTGGAGACATACTGCACCAGCAATTCATTTGTATTAATAATTGGAAAAAAAATGTCTTTCTCTATTTTTGGTCTTAAGAAAAATGCTAATAATAGGAACAGAATGACACTTACCGTGTTTCCACGACCTTGTGCGTATTTGCTATACTCTGTCACTTCAACGATTCGTGCCAATCCAAAATCTGAAATTTTTTTATTCATATTATAATAACCCGTTCAGAGGTCGCACTTGGTGCGATGACAAGTGCCTTCGCCCATGAGCGGTAGGTCTCGGGTTCGAGACTTGGGAGCAGCCTCTCCATAAATGGGGTAAGGCTAGCCGACATTCACTCTCCCAGACCCTGCTTAAAGCGGGAGCCTTGTGCACTGGGTACGACCTTTTTATTATAATAACCCGTTCCAATTTTTTATGTAAATTACAGGTTTGCCATCGGGTAAAGAGGTCGCACTTGGTGCGATGGCAAGTGCCTTCGCCCATCGAGCGGTAGGTCTCGGGTTCGAGACTTGGGAGCAGCCTCTCCATAAATGGGGGTAAGGCTAGCCGACATTCACCTCTCCCAGACCCTGCGTAAAGCGGGAGCCTTGTGCACTGGGTACGACCTTTTTACAGGTTTGCCATCGGGTGGGTTTTGTTATTTAGGCCCAAACAATTGGGCTGTGTTATCACCAGCCCAAAAACCCGGCCCACACATTCTTTTTATTCCTTGTTTTCTCTCACACACGTGACCCATAACTCTCTCCTCTCTCATCTCTCCCGTTGAAGCTCTCTGTAACTCAACCTCACTCTCTCTAATTTCCCGAGCATCACCACTCACAACCGCCATCTCTTACAGCTTGGTTCAACACAAAATCACCAGAAATAGATAAAGGGTTGCCTGAGGATCTCAGCAGTGGCTCTGCATGGATCATCTGCGCAGGCATGCAGAGTTTCGAACTCACTGAACCGTGAGCTTCGAGTCTTCCCCGTCGGTTCAGGTGAAACATCTGCCTCATTTAGTGTTTAATCCAAGGTTAATGAGTGATGTGGGGAAAATTTCGAGCTGAGAAATTGAAGGATTTACAGAATTTAATCTCTGTCTTTGCTTTTCTAGTTTTCTGGTGAACTCAAGGCGAAATTCGAAAGGAATCGTTGTCGATTTAGTTGGACTCAACTTCTTCTGATCTCAGGTACAATTAAGGTACACTGCATGTCGAAATTGAGTGAGAATTTCAGGGTTTTAACCCTTATCTTCTTCTCTGATTTCAGGCTAGGAATCCAACGACCTTTTTGGTTGTTCCCGATGACCCCAAGATGGAATCAGTCTCAATTTTTACATTTTATATCTAGGTACATCTGTGGGAAGTGGCACCTCCCTCGCTAGTTGAGCGGCTCCCGGGCAAAGGAAGACTTGTGAGTGGACCCCTTCATAACTTGCATGGTTTTATAAACCTTAGGGTTGCATGTATATTTTATTTCAGAGTTGCATATGTTTTAAAATATGTTTGATGAAATTGCAAATCTTTGATATTTGGAATATTTTGGATATATTCGGTTTACATTATATTAAGGGTTATAAACTATTGATTGATACGTATGATTTTCAGTGGATTTGTGAGGAGGTATTATTTTATGGGGTTTTGGAACTTTTGAATCTTTACAATTTGGCATGCGATTTGAGTTATGTTTTGGATATAGATATATATCTAGTGGGTTATGATACAACACATCCACACAACACAAAGAATTAGATGTCTATGGCCATAGGACACGGTGATGAGGAGGAGTGAGATATATGTTATACCTCCAACTTCACTGCCGAAAGTAGTGTCGGACAACTTCACGAGCCACGGCTAGTGTCGATGTGAGATGTTATAGAGTTTCTTCTCCGGCGTAACCCGGAGTCGTACAGCTTTACCTTCGGGTGATAGGGCCTACCATGTTTGTTCACTGGCATAACCCAGAGTCGTACAGCTTCACCTTCGGGTGATGGACATGTACTACCTTTGGACGACTATGATACCCCTAGAAAGTATGGTACAATTGAGAGTTATGGATTTTGCCTTCGGGCGGAGGTTTTATAGATTTACCTTTGTGTGGTTTTACTACCATCTTGGAGTATCGTGGTACATATATATGTTCTCCAAATGATTGCACAGCATGCTAGGGTTTTCAGAGAACCAATTATGTAGTACTATATGTGTTTTCAAAACGGGGGGTTATTATGTTCTAATTAAATTAAAATGGTTTTCGTATTATTAGTATTATTATAAACTTTGGTCCACTCACCTTTTCTGTTTTGCGCCCCCTTCAGGATTTAGGTTCGAGGCACATGATCCCGGCGTTAGGGCATCTTTACGTAGGTATCTTCGAGTCTTTCCAGTGTAGAACCACTCCTTTATTCATATATTTTATTGTAATTCTTTCATGTATTCCTTGATTAGTTGTATGCTCTGAACATGTTCCGCGTCGACATGTTTTCTTTCTAATTATTTATCTTATTGTTTGCATGTTTAAAATGGCTTCGACACTCTCACGTGTCGGCCAACACATGCCCATCCTAGTATTTGGGTATATCAGGTTGGGGCGTGTCACATATTCTCATCTAGGAGAATGTTTCTAACCTTCAAATCTCTATGGATTACCTTCAAACAGGAATCGTGGTGGAGGTAAAGAAATCCTCTAGCAACTCCCTGGATAATATTGAAGCGTGTAGCCCAATCAAGCTCTTCTCTGCACTTAGGATCTAATCAATAAATCCATAAAAATGTAAGCAATAACAGTAACAAAATCATAATTAGTGGGGGATTACAAAGAGCTAAGGGATTGCCAATTACGGTAACAAAAGAACAATATGTAACAATGAGAAATTTCATCGAAACATGAAAAGTGGCAGTGAAACTAACCAAATAGAAGAGTATCCAAGCTTTTGTTCGGCATGAATTCATAAATCAGTAACTTTTCATCGTCTTTGACGCAGCAGCCCATGATCCTAACAAGATTCTTGTGTTGGAGTTTGGAGATCAACAGCATCTCATTCTTGAACTCCTCCATGCCTTGCCCCGAGCTACTGGATAGTCTTTTTACGGCTGTTTCCTTCCCTTCTTGTAGCTTACCCTACAAATATAAATTAAACATTCGATTCATGTCTGCAACTTGTAGTTGTAGGCTTCTAGCCGGTGTTGAAAACACTATAATTTCCTTTAGAAATTGAAATGAATAAACAAGTATATAGTCACCTTGTAAACAGGGCCGAAACCTCCTTCCCCGAGTTTGTTCGTGGTGCTGAAATTGTTTGTAGCAGTTAATATGCTGTCAAAGTCGTAGATGAATAGCTCCGACGGATCATGTTTTCTTATGTATTCTTGAAGATTGTCACCTGAATGATCACTTGTATGATTCAACTGCATTAACTTTGTTTTTCCTTTCATGTTCCCTGTTTAAAAAATATAGCAATCATAACAAGGTTATCGAGTAATGGATATCAATCAGTAAATATGTTCTTGTGAAGTTATGCATGGAAGTTATGTACTAATTTGAATAATGCTATCACTCTATGTTATTCTCTTACCGGTTTTTTAGCGCGCAGTTTGTGCACGCCGAATACTATGGCACTCAAGATACTGATAAAACCAACAGCAGTGACGCTGGCAATTAGCTTTACTGGCTTTCCTTCATCTGAAAAAATGAATTTATGAATTGCAATGAGTAAAGTATGAGACAGAAAACAAAAGATACTGATAATTCTCGTTTGGTTTGGTCACTGGACCAGACCAAAGCTCTTTTTTTTGCCTCCTGAAGAAAATGACCTGCTTGTGTTACTCTGATCACAAAACAATTCGGTGTGCCTCACACACCCTCCAGTCGTGTTTCCATTTCGAACTCTTTCAAACACTCGCAATTTGGATTTGGAGATTCAGAACCTTTGCAGACACCATTAACTCCACATGTTCCATAAATTTCACATGGATTCACCAGTGCCTCCCAGCTTAGCCACCAGTTGCTGCCATTGTCCGAAAGCTTAAGACTCAGTACTCCGTCCGAAGAGATGCCAAAATATGAAAGCGTATTGTCAAAAAACCTATAAGAAAAATATTTTGTTCCCTGGTTCACATCAGCATTTAGAGTGAATCCACTTAGATATTGACCATCCATATCCGGTACCCCGATGAACATGGATTTATCCCATGCCCCACTTCTCCAGTAGGGTTTCGATTCATTAATCCAAATGAACACTTGTGATGGAACGTCCCGTGAAAGTCCAGCCAAGAAACAAGCCAGCTGATGGATCACTCTCACTTTTCCAGGCTTTCATTAAACTGCGCTTTCCGGATTTACTATTGAATCCCAGCACCATATTTGGTAGAATTGTGTCACTAGGATAATCAAAACTCTGCCACAATGGATCAGCTCCGACATCATCATCTTTTACGACAAGATTTCCGTTGTCCAAAAGCTCTGCAGCTGAACCATTAGATGGCACTGAAATATTCGTTGACCAAAGAGAATTCTGCTTCCCATCTACAAGCTCCAGATTCCCATTGCTGCTAATTGTCAAATTAGCCAAGGTATCTGAAGCTGCAATAGGATTTTCTCTGTTGGCAACCCATACAACTTTACGCGGAGATATGTTCGTGTGCCATATCCCCACGTACTTGTTAACCGAACCATTAGGACTGAAGAACCCCAATTCGAAAATGCGGCTGGGGGAGACAAGGGTTTGTGTCTGTGAAAATGGTTGTGACGGCGTTATTTCATAAACTTCAGCACAATGATGCTGTGACAGAAGCAAGATGAAGAAGATTAGGAAGAACATGGTGGAACCGAAAATACTACCAATGGTTTCGGTTCTAAACCCCATCGGAATTCTAATATGTTTTTTTAGAAAAAGAAATGCGAAGCGTATCTGTAATTTCCTTGTGAGGAAATGACTTTTCAATTTTGTTACAAGGAAAAGTCTACCATTGCTCTCAAAGTCATAGGGATAAAAACTTTGAAATATCAGATATTTGTTCCTTGGATATTTGACATTTGCTGAAAAAAGTAGTCCAACATCTTTGTATGAGAATACGTGGGCGACTGGAAGCCGGTGATCAATGCGAAAGCAGACACGTCTCAATCAAAACCAATGGGGAACGAGATAGTGATTCTAGAGGTACCTAATGTTAGACGAAGTCAAGGTTAAGCTGTACTCACCGCAATCTGAGGAGTTGGGATTCTGATCAAACTTTTATTCTTTCTGATACTCCTAGTTTTTAGGATTTGTATTTCAAATATTTGTTGTACGCAAAGTTGTGTATGTAATCTTGTGTTTCTGTTTGTATTTTAAAAAGCTCCTTGTATCCAGGGTTTTCAAACCCATATTGTAATCCTGAAGTTGTTATAAATACAAGCATCCCATTATAGATTGGGTATGCAATTGAAGTGAATCCTGAGTGTGCTAAAGTTTCTTATATGGTATTGAGCCTTACTGTCTAACGACTAGATCCTTGTTTTTTTTTTTCCACGCTTCAATGGCTGAAAACAATGTCAACTCTTCCAATTCCACCTCCTCCAACCCACCTACCACCACTGCCTTCCATCCATTTTCCACTGTTGTCAATATCAAACTTGACAGAACCAACTACCCACTGTGGTTGGCTCAAATTCTCCCAATTCTCAAGAGTAGAGATCTGATGGGGTACGTGGATGGTACTTTGGTATGCCCTCCCAAAAACTTGCATGGTGTTACCACTGTGGATCCTGTGTACACTGCATGGATCCAACAAGATCAAATGATTCTCAGTTGAATAAATGGTTCATTGACTGCTTTTGTTTTGTTTACTGTGACAAGCAAGAGGACTGCACGTGCCACTTGGGAAGCTTTGGAGCAAATGTTTGCCTCCATTTCTTAGAACAGAATTTTATTCATGCGCAATGAGTTGTTGCAGACTATGAAGGGTGATCTTTCTGTTGCGGATTACCTAGATCGCATGAGTGCGATCGCTGACAACCTTGCCCTAGCGGGGCAACCTGTGAATGATGATGAACTTGTGTAGATTGTGTCGAACAATCTAGGACCTAAGTTTGAAATAACAGTAAGTGCTGCTCAAGCTCAGGATACCCCTATCACCTATCCCACCCTTGAGGCACTTATGTTGACTACCGAGCAAAGAATGGCAGATCAGAATGTTTCCTTGGCTGAACCTGCACCTGTCAATGCCTTTGTTGCTACTCACGCTCTCGTGGGACTGGAAGAGGTACATCTCCATTTAATCGTGGTTCTATGTCCAATCAACGAGGATACAATCCTCGTAACGATAACAACCAGCGCAATCAGCTCGCTAATAGTGAGAGACCTCCTTGTCCTGGTAAGCGTATCATTTGCCAAATCTGTGGCAAACCAGGTCATCCTGCCCTTGATTGCTACCAAAGGATGAACGCTGCTTATGAAGGTAGGATTCCTGCCAAAAGACTCATAGCCATGTCCTCTTCGCCGATCATTTTGAACAAGCAATCCAATGGTACCTGGCTGTTAGACACTGGTGCTAATGCACATGTACTCCTGAACTTCAAATTTTGGTTAATCCCAAATAATACAATGGTAATTATTGAATTTTGATGTATATTTGCTTGATGAAACAATTACAAGATGAAACATATATATAGGGAAGAAAAAGATCATAAGCCTAATTTTGCCTAACTTACCTATCTTGCTTGACTAACCTAACTTGCCTAACTTTGAACAAGAAAGTTGACTAGCCTAATTTCATCATTATTCCAACATGTTTATTTCATGTATTTTAACACTCCCCTCAAGTTGGAGTGTGAATGTCGATGACACCCAACTTGCTAATTAAGACCTCAAATTGTGCCGAGCTTAGTGGTTTGGTGAACAAGTCTGCAGGTTGATTCGAGGTTCGTATGTAAGCTGTTTGCACCATTCCCATTTGAATCTTCTCACGTACTAGGTGACAGTCTATCTCTATATGCTTCGTTCGTTCATGAAACACTGGGTTCGAAGCAATGTGCATGGCAGCTTGATTATCACAAAACATTGTGACTGGTTTGTGCATGATTTACTTGCAAGTCCTTCAAAATGTTTCTTAGCCATATAACTTCACAACAAGTAGTAGCCATAGAACGGTATTCTGCCTCTGCACTAGAACGAGATATTGTGCTTTGTTTCTTCGTTTTCCAAGATATCGGTGCTTGTCCAAGGAAGATACAATAACCGGTTATTGACCTTCTAGTGTCTTTACACCGAGCCTAATCAGCATCACAAAAAGGCTTGTAATTGTAGTGAACCTGTAGAAGGCAAAAGAATTCCCTGTCCAGGAGATTGTTTGATGTACCTGAGAACCTTATGCACCGCTTCAAGGTGTGGTTGTCGTGGCTTGTCCATGAATTGGCTCAACATATTAACCACATAAGTCAGGTCAGGTCGCGTGATGGTTAAGTAAATCAGCCTCCCTACAAGTCGCCTGTA